CCTATATTATTCACGTTGCAATATTTGTTTTAATTTCCATGTTGACTTTTTATTCGAAAACTGCAATACATACCAGTTGCACATAAACACATTCACACACACACACACACACACACACACACACACACACACACACACACACACACACACACACATTACATCAAGAAATGGGAGAGAGAAAAAAGAGAGGACGTGGTAACATAACGATATGTACGACGTGAAAAGGTCAACGTGAGAACATTAGGAAAGTGTAAGCATTCCAACAAAGCACGACTTCCGGAGAAAATGGTATCAATGCGTCCCCGAGGCAAGAAAAAGCATACCCAGGTTTCTGCACAAAGGGAGCCGACGCCTTATGTTGAACCTGGCTACACCTAAACGGCAATTAACACAGAACTAGCCAGTAGAAGTAGCCAAGGAATGCAGGTGGGCGTAGGGAACCGCCTCGTTATCAAACCACAGCTTTCTACTTAACCTGATTTCGGGCTTAATTTTTTTTTTGGGGGAAGCGTGTGTGTGTGTGTGTGGGTTCTTTTCCAGGAGAGACTGCAACGGAAAAATTATGATCAACCTGCAGGGAGTGTTTTCTTCGTCCTCAGGGGAGACGCTTTGGAAATTGCTGGTCCTCTCTGCTCCAGAAACCCAAATTGTTGAGTTCCCTTATTATCATTAACACCCAATGTTTTTTGTTTTCTTTTTTTTTTTGTATATATTTTTTGTTATCTCTTAGCTCTTGCAAGGTATATATGAACGTTCATAATCGCAGATAACTAATAAATGTGTATTCTCTTCGTTTCTCTCCCATGAAACTAAATACGCAAATGCAGCAATAATAGTGACATCACCAGACTTACCAAAAGTTTACGTCGACAATCTACAATCAAACCTACGTTATTCAACCTACATCAAACATACTTCCCTTACGACTGAATAAACATCCACCCGCTAAAACCCCAGTGTACCCTAAAATAAAACATAACCAAACTATTCAACTTTTTTCCGTTGCAAACAAAAGAAAACAACTCCTCCCCCCCTCCCCCTCCCCCCACTTTCCTTCAAGCGCTCATCAACGACAGATTCTTCCCATTTTTTCGTTTCTTTTCGTTTTCTTTTTTATTCGCTCGCCAGGCCCCGCGCAGCTGTTCTAGTGCCAGCAGGGTGAAGTGGAAGACTGCGTTCTATGATTTACAAAACAAAGAGATATTTTTTTCCAAACATGTTCAGAAAAAAATAGAAAAGAAAGTCATAACCCTGGATAATTTGCTGTTTTTTTTAATTTGAAGTTTTTAACGTTATAAGTTTTTTTTTTTTTTGCGATTTCGTAAGAACACTTATCAGCGATCGTTTGAATCCTGATCATTGTTACCATTATTGTGTTTTATTGTGCTGATATATTTAAACGTCCATTGTCATTATGAGCAACATTATATATTTAAATAATATTTTCATATTGTCAATAAGTAGTAGTAGCGTAGTAGTAGTCGTAGAATTACTAGCAGCAGCAGCAGTAGTAGTAATAGTAGTAGCAACATTATCAAAATCATTATCTGTACATTACTACTGCTATTTCACTTATCTATGTACTCATTATTATCGCCTTCGTTATCATTATCACTAATAATAACTATTACTATCAAAATCATGTGTGTTGTCCTTAAAATTACTAATGATAATATCATTATCACCACCATCATCATTGTCATCACCATCAATCAATTTTTATCACCAATCATCACAATCAATCAATCACCATCATCATCAAATCATATCAATCACCATCATCACTCTACCAACCTGTATTATGGCCCCTCTTATCTCAGCAGTCTCACAACACAATTCACAAGCCTTGATGACTGAAACCCTGATAACTTTTTGAAAACACCAAAAGAAAGGAGAGAAGAGGTTAGGGTGAGAGAGAAAGAGAGAGAGAGAGAGAGAGAGAGAGAGAGAGAGAGAGAGAGAGAGAGAGAGAGAGAGAGAGAGAGAGAGAGAGAGAGAGAGAGAGAGAGAGAGAGAGAGAGAGAGAGAGAGAAAGGGGAGGGAAGAAGGAGAGAAGGAGAGGGAGAATACAGCATATATTAAAAAGATAATGAATGTTAATGGAAAGGAATCAAATTTGGAAAAGTTACTGCTGATTTCTCCTTTCTCTCTCTCTCTCTCTCTCTCTCTCTCTCTCTCTCTCTCTCTCTCTCTCTCTCTCTCTCTCTCTCTCTCTCTCTCTCTCTCTCTCTCTCTCTCTCTCTCTGCCTAAAAAGAATCACAAGGGGAAAGTATTATCCACTGTCTTGAAGAAGTAGGAAAAGAAAAGATGGAAATAACTCTATATCTGCAGCTATTGCTTGTAAATAATAACTCTGGATATTTGCATAAACCCTAGCGACTTGCATAGAAGTGCACTTCCTGGAACCTTGCAACAGTCACCATTACATATTCACATCAAAACATACTTATGTATATGCATTATCGGCATGTTCCTTATATGGGTACACAGTATGTATATGTTTTCGTGGTATATTTGGATTATTTATGTATGCATGTATGCTTGTACGTATATATGTATATATGTAGGTACCTATTTTAGTATGCGCGCGCGCGCGCCGCGTGTGTGTGTGGTGTGTGTGTGTGTGTATATGTATTGATATGTGCGTGTTGTATAGTGTGTAGTGTGGGGGGGGGGGGTTGCAATGATATGTAATATGGTTTGGTGTTCTAACGAAGTTTATCTTTAATATGTGGAATAGAGGTAATACACACAAACACAACACACACACATTATCATACTACATTGAATTTAATACATAACTGGGCACACACTATATCACAAAGATTAACGTTTGCTCATATGCATAATATAACTAACATTCAATATACCATAAAATAGCGGAATATATGCGAATGGATTGACTTATATATAATATAACAACTAGGGTATATCTGATAACTGCACTGATATAGAATAAGGAGAACTAAACGGCGTTATATTGAATTATTACGAAATACGAAGAAGAGAGGTTGAGAAGGATATGGGAGAGGGACAATGATGCAAGCAGGCACAGAGAGAGTAGGGAGAAGATGAGTGTATATGGTATGAGTAAGGATGTACTAGGAGATCGATGGAGACGAGTGTGAGATAGAATGGGAGTAATAGCGAGCAGAGATGAAAGTTAGAGAGAAATTTGAGTAGATGAGTGATGATATATAATATTACATAGAGAATAGTAATAGTATCTCAGAGATAAGAGTCATTGAATAAGATGAAGAGAATTAAACTCAGATACAAACTCGAGTAGAGGAAACATCAGTAATAGACACACACAGACACTAGTTAATATCACATTATCAGACAGACACCACTACAGGATTACCTAAAGTCCCATATATACTAACCTCGCTCTCTATCACCGCGGTTACCAGTGTTGAAAGATACTCCTCAATTCATATATATAAAATCCCGTTGAGATTATTAATAAACTATAAATAGAAAATTATGCCAAGAATAAAATATATATATAACATATATACATAATTTTCAATGGCTTACACTATAACAATTCTGAAAAATATACAGAGAAGTAGGATATTAGTAATACACATATAAAACAAAATATAATAATAAGTCAAATAATAATATAACACACTCACCATATGATATAGAGCACAGTAATCTCGAGAGAGTTGGAGAGCATATGCACTCATAGTATCAGTATCACTAACTTTATATGTAATTTCACGACCCAGGTCGATTATGTGGTGTGGTGTGTGACTGGATTATATTCTTCCCGCAACACACACACACAACACACTATCAGACACACAGTGACACCTCGAACACGGAGATCGACTAGCGCAAATTCGACACACACATCACTCTGAGAGAGAGGAGAGAGAGAGAAGAGGAACAGCAACACGAGCAAACGACGAGCAACAGACCAACCAGTAAGAACAAGAAAAAGCACGAACAAGACACACACAAGCACACACAGCACACGCACACAGAGAGAGAGAACGCACGAGATGAATAGTAGAAGAGTAGAGTAAGAGAGAGTAAGTATAAGATGAAGTGAGAGAGAGAAAAGAGAGAGTAGTAAAGAGAAGATAGAGAATGAGAGAAGAGAGAGAGAGAGAGAGTAGAGAGAGGAGATAGAGGGAGATGATGAGGTGAGGGTGTGTGAATGAGTGGAAAGCACAGTATGAGCAGATAGGAAGACGAACATGATGAGAGAAGCAGCATGAGTAACAAGAGCACGCATAATGTACATGATAGAAGAGAAGTATAGAGATAGAAGAGAGAGAATAGAGAGAGAGAGAGAAGGGAAGAGGTGAGAATAGGAGTGTAAGGGATGAGGTAAGAATGAGTAGGGAGAGTACATGCATAACATTAGCACGAGGAGGGAGACAGCACAAGAAAGCGAGCAGGCACACACACAACACACACACACACGGCACGACACAGCACAGACAGAGAGACACCAGAGAGAGAGAAGACGATGAGGAGGCACAACAACACAAGCACACACCACGCACAAGAGCAGAAGAGAGAGAAGAGAAGAGAGAAGAGCAGAGAACAACAAGCACGCACACACACAGACACAAACAGACACACACACGACCAGAGCACACACACACGAGACACACACACAGGCACACATATATATATCGATAGTAGGTAAGTGATTTATATATGGTAAAGTAATGAGATAGTATACCATACATACAGTTACACACACACACACACACAGCACACACACCACACATATATATATTATACATTATATAATAGTATAGAGTATATAGATAAGGGAGATATATATATATAATAATATGTATGGTATGGTAACAAGTGATAAGAGAACACGATATAATTAACAAACAATAAGAAGTTGGTTTGAACTCACATAAACAGCTAGAGGATGAATCCAGACTTGCTGTAATGTCACGGAGTCTTGAGTACAGGAGAAGCCCGTATATTACAAAACAATAAAATTCCTTTTGTAACTCACCCATAAAACACTAGAATGAATCCAGACTTGCTCGTAATCTCACGGTCTTTGATTCACAGAAGTCAATTCAAGTCCACTACCTAAGTCCTCAGAGAACACCACTTCCAGTCAAATGCCCGCGTGCGGAACGGAGCGCGATACTCTCACTACCAAAGTCACACGTGTACTGGTGCGGTCGGGCAGTCAGAGCCTCGGCTGGGCAAGATGAGGTCACGCGGATGAAATGCCAGTAGTATTTTTTTTTCTTAAAATTACATGTCCGTTTCTTGATGTACGAGTTTACTCTGTGTGAATGTAATGCGTGGGTGATTTTCGTTATAAACTGACAAGATTCACAATGGGGTTTGCAAATACAGCAAAATCTAACGAACGAATTTGAATTAGCGTAACTGAAGAGAGCATGAATCACGGAATTGACGCATTTTGCTTGATTCAAACTCATATGAAACAATAACAACATTTAACAGCTTTGATTTTCGTATTGGAAGGAGAGAATACTCAGCCCCTTTCACGGCAGACTAACGTACAGATCCTTTGAAATGATCGAAGCTGCTTTTGTATATGGGAGTGATTTTTGATTAATCAAATGTTATACAAATATTTTCTTTTCTTCTGTATGCATACTCACGTGTCGATATATATATGCGCTCAGCAGCCCACACACAACGCACACACACACACACACACACACACACACCACACACACCACACACACACACACACACACACGACACACACACACCACATATATAATATACACACAAAACAGGGGCGGAGCGGCGCATATATATAGTATATATATATTATATATAATTACGGTAAGTATATATATATATTAGAGTATATATAATATATACATATAGTATAGTAAATTATATAGTAGATATAAATAGATATATCTAGAGTGTGTATGTATATTTGCAGAAAGATATATGTATGAGAGAGTATGAATGAGAGAGAGAAGAGGATATAAGGATATCGATAGATGGAGTAGATAAAATAAATAGAGTAGTATTGACAGATAGATAGGATAGAGAGAGAGAGAGAGGTATAATAGGATGTATATGAGGTAATATAGATGTAGATAGAGAGAGAGATATAGTGAGACACATGGTGCATGTGAGTATTATATATAAATAAATGAATATATAGAATATAGAATAGATAAGGTAGTATAATATATAGTAAATAGAGTAATATATATATATAGTAGATAAGTAAAGGAATATATATATATAGCATATATGTACTGTGGACACATATATGTATAAGATGTGTGGTGTATATATACAGTATAAATAGAGATATATATATATATATATGAAGAGGTATATAGTAATAAGTGATATGAGAGAGATGATATAGATATAGATAGATATATATAGATAGTAATGGATTATATAATTCGAATAGTATACGTATGTGGATGTGTGTTGTGTGGTATGTAAGTAATATATATAATAAATATAGTATATATATAATATAGATAAGAATAGGAGTAGAACGAGGAGATGAGAGATAATAGGTAATGGTAAGGGAGTAGTAATATATGTGTGTGTGTGTGTGTGTGTGTGTAGTGTGTGTGTGATGTGGTAGATGTCTGTGTGGATATAATATAAAGATAGAGGACTGAATAATATATAGAGAATAATAAATAGTATACATATATATATATATATATCAAGGAGTGTGTGTGTGTGTGTGTGTGTGTGGTAGGAGTGTGTGTGTGTGTGTGGATATTAATATAGTAGAGTAAGATAAGTGATGTGTGGTGGGTATGTGAGTGTGTAGTGTTGTGATGTGTGCGCGCGCCAGTAGTGTGTGTGTGTGTGTGTGATGTGTGTGTGTGTGATAATGGTGTGTGAGTGTGTGTGTGATGTGGTGTGTGTGTATGATTGATGTAGTGTGTGATGTGGTGTGTAGTGTAGTGTGTGTGTGTAGTGTGTTGTGGTAATCAATGAGTAATGAGATATAGAGATGAGTCACTATAAAAATATATATATATATGATTATATATATAATGTCTAAGAAAGATGACGAGACAGAGCAGAAGATGAATATAAAGATATAGTTATGTAGAGGATATACGAGAATGATATAGAAGATAGTATTATATATATAGTCTAATATCGATTGTGAATAGTAATGATAAAAGAGTAAGTTTAGTAGTAATATAAGTATAATGTTAGATGATGAGAGTACATATAGTAATTATATATATATATATTAATGAAGTAAGAAAGTAATATAGATATGAAGATAGAGAGACTTTGGTGGTTGGTGTGTGTTGTGGTTGTGTGAGTGATGAGTGCTGTATATATATATAGATAAGAGAGATAGAGATGAATAGATAGATGATAATAGTAAGAGAGATTAATATATAATAGGACGAGAGAGAGGAGAGAGATTTGTATATATGGAGCGATATGAATATATAGAACAGCACACATATGTGTAGTAGTGAGTATGATATAAGTATAAGTAGAAAATATATGAAATAATATATAGTTAATATATATGTATATATAAGATGATATAATAGAGGATTGTATTAGTATAGGAAGTATAATATTATGTATGTATGTATGTATAATAGTAGAGAGGCGAGAGAGCATGATATAAGAATAGTGATGCGAGTAATATGTAATGAGAGAGATTTTATGATAATATTATATGATATAGAAGAGTAGAGAGATGAGATAAGAGATAGATTATGAAGGAGAATATGTGTGTATAATATATTAAGATAAAGATAAAGATACGACGAAGTATAGATCTATCTATCTATCTATCGTCTCTCTCTCTCTTCCTCTCTCTCTTCTCATCGACGATGCTCAGTCACGCATCTCTCTCGATCTCTCTGAAGTCTCTCTCTTATCTCTGCGTCTCAGGTCATCTCTCTCTCTCTCTCGTCTCAGTCACTATCTCTCTCATCGGGCTCATCTCGCCTCTCTCATCTGTGCTACATATATAGTAATAGAGTATATAAGATAATGAATAGATATAATATATAAGATGTGTGGATGTGTGTGTGTGTGTGTGTGTTGGTAGTGTGTGTGTGTGGTAGTGTGTGTGTGTATAAGGAGACATGATAAGTGTACAGCACACACGGCGAGCAGAGCGCACGCACACACCAACACACACGCAACACGCCACAGCAAACAACACGACACACACACAGCACACACAACACACGCACACAGCACACACACACAGAGCACTCAACCAGCACACGAAACAGACACACACACACACACAGCAACACACACACACACGCAACGAGCACACAGCAACAGCAACAGCACACAAAGACACGAGTATATCACAAGTAATAAGCTATATATATATAGATATATATAAGTATATAATAAGTAGAGAGTAAGAGTATAAGACAGATACACATACATAACATATGTATAGAGATATGTGTGTGTATAATATAGGGCAAATGTGTAAGAAGAGATATGTGTGTCGCTAATAGATAAAAGAGACATTAGATGTAGAGAGAGAGACAGAGATAAAATAGTGTGTGTATGTACAGTATAGAGAGATGATAAGAGCACAGCACGATATAATAATCATGATGAAGATAGAGGAGAGAGAGAGACGAGAGGCAACAGCACGCAAGCACGATATATACATAGTATATGTGGACCGCATAGTATGTTTGTGATGTGTGTGATGAATGTGTATAATGGCTTTTATAGTAATATATACACGTATAACTGAGTATACATAATAAGCATATGTATATACGTGAGTAATGTACGAGAGAAGCGCACGCACGGCACGCACGCATGCACGCACGCACGTGTGGGTGTGTGAGTGTGTGTGTGTGTGTGTGTTGTGTGTGTGTGTGTGAGTGTGAGTGTGTGTGTGTGTGTGTGTGTGTGTGAGTGTGTGTGTGTGTGTGTGTGTGTGTGGTCTGTGTGTGTGTGTGTGTGTGTGTGTGTGTGTGTGTGTGTGTGTGTGTGTGTGTGTGTGTGTGTGTGGTGTGTGTTGGTTGTTATGTATATATTATATATATATATAATAATATATAATATATATATATGTATGTATATATTTACATATATATACATATATATGCACACACACACACACACACACACACACACACACACACACACACACACACAACACACACACACCACACACACACACACACACACACACACACACACACACACACACACAACACACACACACACACACACACACACACACAACACACACACACACATTAATGAAATATTGATGATAATAATCACAATAATGATAATAATGATAATCAAAATCATGATAAGAATAATACCAGCAATAGTAATAATGATAACGATGATAATTATCATACCAATAATAATAATAATAATAATAATAATAATGATGATAACAATAATGATAATAATAATAATAATAATAATGATAATGATAATAATAATAGTAATGATAATAATAATAACAATAATAGTAATGATAATAATAATAATAATAAAAATGATGATGATTATGATGATGAAGATGATGATGATGGTGATAATGATAACATAGTAATAATAATACCAACAGTGATGATAATAACAATGATGAGAATGATAATGATTATCATAATGGTAACAATAATTAAATAATAATAATAATAATGATAATAATTAACAATGATAATGCAAATGACATTAACGATGACAATAATCATGATAATAAAAGCAATGATAATGGTAATAATATTAAAGATGATAATGGCATAAATAATATAGATAATGATTACGATAAAAATGATATTGATGATGATCATAACAATTGTAATAATGATGACATTGATAAAAATATCAATAATGACAATGATAGTGATAAAGATAACAGTAATAATGATAATTATGATAATTACAACAACGACAATAATATTTGTTATTATTATCATTATTATCATTATCATTACTACTACTATTATCATTCTCATAATTATCATTATCATTATTATTATTATCATTATCATCATTATCATCATTATCATTATTGGTATTATTATCATTACAATACCGATAATGATAACAATAATAATGATGATAATAATAATGATAATTATAATAATAGTAATGATAATAATAACAACAATACTAATAATGATGATGATGATGATGATAGAGTAATAACGATAATAATGATAATAATAATAATAATAATAATAATAATAATAATAATAATAATAATAATAATAATAATGATAGTAATGATATGATAATAATAATGATAATAGTAATAATATGATAATAATAATGATAATAATGATAATGATAATAATAATAATAATAATAATAATAATAATTAATAATATAATAATATAATAATATATAATAGAATAATAATAATTATAGTAATAATAATGGTGATGATAATGATAAAATAATGATGATGATAATAATAACAGTAGTAATAATTTTGAAAATTGATGATAGAAATAATATTAGTAATGATAATAATAATAATAATAATAATAATAATGATATTGATAATATACGTTATACTGATAATAATAATGATAATAATGATAATTATTATTGTTATAATAACAACAATTATGAAGATAATAATGATAATATTAGTAATAATAATAATAGTAATGATAAAGATAATGATAATGATAACAATACTAATGATTATAATGAAACAATGCTAATGATTATAAGATTATAATGATAATGATAATGACAATAATAATGATGATAATAATAATAATGATAATGATAACACAAAACAACAAACAACAATGATAATTAATAATGATAATAATGATAATAATAATAATAAATAATAATAATAATAATAATAATAATAAAATAATAATAATAATAATAATAATAATAATAATAATATAAATATAATGATTGATAATAACAATATGGATATAAATAATGATACATAACAATAATAATAATAGTAATAATAATAATGATAATAATAATGATATAGGAATGACAATAATGATGATAACATTAATGATGATAATAGTAATAGCAATATAAATGATAATGATAATAATAATAATAATAGTAATATAACTATTATTATATTAACAATGATAACAACAAAAGCAATAACAACAACAACAACAACAAAACAATTATGATAATGATAATAATAATAATAATGATAGTAATAATAATGGTAATGATAATGATAATAATAGTAATGACAATAATAATAATAATAATGATAATAATAATAATAATAATAAAATAATAATAATAATATAATAATAATAATAATAATAATAATATAATAATAATAATAATAATAATAATAATAATAATAAATAATAATAATGATAATGATAATGATAATATAATGATAATGATAATAATTTTAATGAATAATAATAATAAATAAATAATAATAACAACAACAACAACAACAACAACAACAATAATAATAATAATAATAATAATAATAATAATAATAATAATAATAATAATAATAATAATAATAAAATAATAATAATAATATAAAATAATAATAATAATAATAATAATAATAATAACAACAACAACAACAATAATGATAATAATAATAATAATAATAATAATAATAATAATAATAATAATAATTAATAATATAATAATAATAATATAATAATAATAATAATTAATAATAATAAATAATATAATAAATAAATAATAATAATAATAATAATAATAATAATAATAATGATAATAATAATAAATATAATAATAATAATAATAATAATAATAATAAAATAATAATAATAATAATAATAATAATAATAATAAAATAATAATAATAATAATAATAATAATAATAATAATAATAATAATAATAATAATAATAATAATAATAATAATAATAATAATAATAATAATAATAATAATAATAATAACGATAATAATAATAATGATAATAATAGTAATGACAATAATGAGCATATAACATTACTGGTTATGGCAATAACATGTTAATGATGACAATATCAATGATAATAATAATTATGATGATAATGAAAATAACAAAAACAACCACAACAATAAAAACAGCTACATGACCTTTAGAGAGGCAAGAGCAAAAATAATAATAACGAAAAGATAATAACTATTTTAAAAAATGAAAAGAAGAAAGGTTGAGAATCATATGGCATATAGAAGAAATGATGAAGTAAATAAGAGAGAGAAGTATACTTATATTAGAGAGGAAAAGAAAATAAAGCATTTATTGTGAAATAGCGAAGAAGTGATTCCATTGCCCTCGTATCCCTATTTTCAAGTACGGAAAGTAGCGAATATCTTTACTATTTTCGGCCTGAAAAATACCAAATAAAAGGTCCTACTTTTCACATTTATACCTAAATAGTACAGTATATTTTATACCCAGTAATCAACCCATAGTGGAATTCGCATTAAAAAATACAATATTTTGACATTTGGACAATAGTTTCTCCGTTGTTTGTTTATAGCATCGCCCATCCATCCAGGAAGGGATACTTGCAGCGCCTTTAAATAAACCAACTCCAACGCCCTCCAAAATGTGCGACGAGGAAGACAGGACCGTGTGGGTGGGCAACCTGGATTCTGAACAAGTGACAGAAGATGTCCTGTTCGAATTGTTTTTGCAGGTGAGCTGAAAATCGGAGTTTAGGAGACCATGAGCGGAGGGCACTGTTAATTCTTGGAGAGTTGTGTGGATGAGATTAATTCGGTCTTGGCAGAGGTATAGTTAATCGAGGCTAGGAGAAAGGTTTAGGAGTTTTTGATAGGTTGTCGTGTTGATGGTGGTGTTGAGAATAGAATAGATTTACCAGCAGTATGGCGGGTTGATTTAGATCATGGGATTGAACTTGGCCTACTTAGGGTCCCGAGAAGCTGAGTTTGGAAAGATGATAAATATTAATTTAGGTATTATTGAAATTGACTTATAAATACTAACACTTGTCATCAGATAGAATGTAACATTCCTATGACACTTCTACTTTAACATTTCCTTTGCAAAAGAATGATAAGGGTAAAAGAGAGAATGTAAAACTAAAAAATTCCAGGTGCTTTAGACATGTACATCATGAGCAGTGAGAGAAAAATATACCAGTGTAAGGAATCAACGAAAAAGTCAAATGGAAATCAAATGAGCCACTGGGACTAGCACTAGGCTGTAATATGAGAATAGATAATAGCAACTAGTCTATCAAAGTCAATAAGATTTGTAATAGATAACCACAAGAGAATTGAAGCTGGAACCAAGGGAATTTAGTTGAAATTCAAAGCAGTTATGTCATGGTTATGTATAATATACGGTGCTGTCTCACCTTTAACATAGAATATCATGGCAATAACAAAAATGAGCAGTGGATGGTATTAACAATTACCATCAACAGCAACTACAACGATTTTGGGGACTTGCTGGCTGGCAGTTGCAGGTTTATTGGTCAGGGTAAGAAATTATCAGTACAAGATATGTATTCCCATTCTATATGATGTAATCAACATCATAAAAGTGAATAAAGAATAGTGCAATCACATACTGTGGTTATAAGAAGCATTTAAACTTTTTGTGCAAAGTAATTTTTTCTAAGGCCCGTACTTTTAAAACCTTTCGCCAGGGCTGGCGAAGGGTTTCGCCGGCGATCCGGAATTTCGTACTTTTAAAATCATGCCTGGCGAACGTTCGCCAGGGCTGGCGAAAGATCATATTGGAACAGCCTGGCGAAGAGAGCTGTTTGAATACCATTTTCTTGCTTTCAAATTATAAATTAGTAACATATTTGTGTATGATAGTATGTAGGAATCACATTGAAATTATAAAATATCTTAAAAGCATAATTTGTTATGAAATAACGTATATACGTATTTTTTCAAGACCTTCGATGTTCCAGTCGAGAGCTCAAGACATCAGCTGTATTCCTACCCCCCACCCCCGAGATGACTTATTTAGATTTAGGTTGTTGTTATTTTGGTTGTAAGGATAATGTTCTATTCACAAATGTTACCAGAAGTGTTTTTTATGGCGGCATGTTTACTTTTGGCTATAGAAACAGAGCTGTAGTGCTCCACCGCCCTATAATGAGGCGTCTTTAATGATACCCTTGTAGGCCTACAGTTCAATATCTTACATCAGTTAGGAATAGTAAAATAGTAATTTTTAAACTCTTGTTAAAGTATAAAGTTATTTTTTGTATAAAAGTATAAGGTTGATATAGTATAGTATAAAGTACTTTTAAAACCTTTCACCAATGCTGGCGTTCGCCTGGCGAAGCTTCGCCAGGCGAACATCTGAGTGAGGGAGGCCTTACTTTTAAACTAAGGCAGGTGTTCGCCAGGCCTGGCGAACGAAAGGGATCGCCAGGCGCTAACATCTTGGATTCCTGATAAATCTAGCGCTTCGGCGAATGAAAAAAAACGCGAGAAAAAGCAAAAGGTTTTAAAAGTACGGGCCATAAAGTTAACCTTGTTATAGTATAAAGTGTAATATAGCATAAAGTATAAAGTTAATTTTGTTTTAGTATAAAGATATTTTCAACTTCTTTGTTATAGCATAAAGTTAAATTTTAACTCCTTTGTTATAGTATAAAGTGAGACTATTGCGGAAACATTTTCGTCTTCTCTCGAGGTTAATAATTAAGTTTAGGTTATGTTATGTGCACTGCAGATGTAAACAAATTTGCGCTACATTTAGCGGGAATGCAAGATGTTAGCGTCTGGCGAACGTTGGGTTTAAAAGTAAGGCCTCCCTCACTCAGATGTTCGCCAGGCGAACGCCAGCACTGGCGAAAGTTTTTAAAGTACGGCCCTAAGTCACTGTACATGTTTACTTTGTAGTTTCAAATAATAAACTGACAGCATACCTCATTACTGCGACATGTCAGTTAGTTCATATGTTACTAAGCGCTTTTGAAAATTATTCTTTCCTATTTGTTCCCATTTCCATCACTATGTTGGGGCATCTTGTGTTTTCATAAAAAGAAAAAAGAAAAAAAAAAAAGCCTGTTATGAATTATTTTACACTTTTTGTTATAACTCTTTGCACATGTCTGTTTTCCAAAGCAGGATTTTCAAGTTCCTTAACTATTCTTTGACAGTATGTTTTGTGTTGAATGTGACCTTGGCTATGGTCCTTTTTAAGCCAATATAATTGAAATTCTTTGAATCTTATTGACATTTGCATAAGCTACAATGTAGTAAGTCAATCTGTCAGTTGTGTGAGTAGAACTGATTGATTGTTATGCTATTCCTGGTAGGCAACTAGAGGGTTATATGGTTCTGAAATTATTATATTGATACTACAGGTATACAGTGGGCAAAGCCTCCGGCAGGGAAATATGGGGATTGGAAGGGGTGTCCAGGGGCAGAGCCCCGGGTTATAGAAGATTTTGACTCGCACGGTGATCTTTCTGATTATTTGTGCATCTGTCATACGGTTCCATTACTTGCTTATTATTGTAATGCAGTGTCAAATCGTCTGTGGCCGAATCTTGTCTCAGGATTTTCTATTTTCCACTTTCTTTGTCATGAAGAAGATTATTGGCTAAGGATTTTGATTTTACACTTTTCTATGCTCTTTAAAATACCTGCACTGAGCGAAATCTCTCCAAACCCATCCCTGAATCCCCACGGGATGCCCTAACGTTGTTGGATAGAGTCTCTGATGGGTGCAGCTTTTGAAATCATGATATATTTATAGTAAATATATATTTCTCTTAGAAAGTAATTTTTCATCAGAAACTAGATGTGTTTCTCTTAGAAAGAATTACCCATATTTTACCACGCAATTTTTCTGATAACTTTCATGCCTTCCCCTGCTCTCAGAGCGAAGTCTGTTTCTAATGGGGGGTTTCTATTCAATAATTTCTATATATTTAGATACTAAAGAGGGAGAGGAATCCATTGCATCCAAAATTGTTGTGATCCATTATGTTTTGTGTAAAATTACCAGAATTACTTAGGTCATTTATGTTTACCCCACAATTTCCCTGATACTTATTATGCCTTCCCCAGCTATCAGGACTGATATCATAGCTGTGGCTCATTTGCAAAGGGAAGGAGTGCTAGATTCATTCAAAATACATCAGGAGCTTTCACATAAAGAGTTTTCACCCAGAAATTAGTGTTAGGTGTCATTTCCAAATTTACTGTAAATTACCATATATAACCATAGTTAAGTAAATGGGTTGATGAAATGAGTAGTCAGGAATAGAGTGAATGGGTGGGAGTCTGGGAATGCAACAAATGGCTGGAGGTCCATGGGTTAGATTAGCGGAGGTTTGAGTAAGTAAGGTGGGGTTAGTTTCGGTTATGTCACTTTAGATGAATGTAGGAGTCATCTGGTTTTAGGTGTTAAGTTGGGCAAGGTTAGCGTATGTTAGGTGGGTATTTATGTTTTTGTAGCCCATAGAAAGTAAGGGGTTGATCATTAAAGTAAGGATGCTGTAAGATAGGAGAAATTGAAGATGATATTCTTGTAGAGGACTAAAAGTTACAGTTGTTGGTACAGGAAATCATTTGCAGACACAAACAGTAATGCCAATAATAAAGAAAGTTTGTGGAAAGCACAGCTCACAGTCTAAGTCCACTTGGTGCTTCCGAGTTTCACCTTCAGGTGAAGACAGTGTTTCCTGGGGAATGTTGTGGGTTGCCCAGTTACGGCAACATAGATTGTTAATTAAATTTCGTGATGTGGAGTTGGGGAGTGCATCAGTACTGTAATGAATTACTAATTAAGGTGTTTTGCAAGTAATTTCTGCCAAATATAGAGTTTGGAATCACTCAAAATACATTGATAAGGCATATCATGCTTACTGGCATATTGTTATATGGACATTAAAGTTATAGGCAGAAAACAATAGGCAAAGATATCAAACCATAAAACTAAAATGTATGTGTTGTAAACAAAGAAATGATAATTATTGGTATCATAACTATGAGTATTTGCACTTAATATCATGGTCATTTCCCCTCTAAATAGGTATCACACAAGTGCCAATTTATCATAATTTGCACTTATGCAAATTATATTTTTGGATTACAGCATTGATTTCTATTTGTTTTATTGTTATATATACTTGATTTGGAAATGATAGTGTATATATATGTGTATATATATATATATATATATATATATATATATATATATATATATATACTTTTTTTTTTTTTTTTTTTTTTTTTTTTAATTGCTTTGCTTTTTTGATATATACATATATATATATTTTTTTTGCTGGCTTGCTTGCTTGCTTACCCAGCATTTTCCCTGTTTATTTAATGCCTTCCTTTGTATCAAGGCCAATATTGTTATTAATGGTTTAACCCGATGACATTGGATACATGCACTGTCAGAGTCACTGTGGTTTTATATAGTTAATTTTGTTTACACATAATGGTTTTGCAATCCCTTAATAACCAGTTGAGTCAGTTACCAACTCAGCTTGATCTTAACTGATTACCTTATTTCTTGAATTTTCAGGGGGGGGGGGGAATCCTACTGTAAATTTGAGAAGTTACATAGATAGATTGTAAGGTTAACCTAGTAAATGACTCATTGGTGACTAAGTATGGAACGGTCTGTGTAAATTAAATTAACTAGACATAACCATAATGGGCAATGCCAGTAAAAGCTGCATGAATGATTATATTATCTAATGAACATTTCTTAAAGGCCCAATCATACTAATACTTTTTCTATCAATTTATGCCTACATAACACTTACCAAACAAAAACAGTAGCAACCGTTCCCATCTGACTAATTTCCATCTTGATCTTGTGCTACGGAGGGTCAGTGCATTATTTTATTGATGAATTAGGTAGGAGTTAATGTCAACACAAGCTAATATTCTAGATTATTTCTGTATGCAATTAACATCATTATATTTATATAAAATAATAGGATGTGTATGTGAATGCTCATGTGATTCATGAGACCTTATTCAGATGGCACCTTGTTTGCTAACTGTGATATGGTCAGTCCATTTGTTTGTGGAACAAATAATGGAAGTGATAAATGTCTTTATACATTTATCACTTCCATTAAGTGAACACCAGTGATACACTAAAAGTATTGATGTAGGTGCTACTAAGTGCAGTAACATAGAAAAGCACTGCAGAGACAGTTTATTATCCTTGTTGTTCAAATAAAAGATATGAATGAAAATGCCTCTGAGTAAATGTGTTGGTGACTTGGTAATTGTGGAGCTATCTATGTTTAGAAAAAAATACTAAATTAAATGCACAGTGCACATGGCATGTATGCACATGCCATCCCTGGCACCTTAGGGTTAATCTTTTTGTTATTAAGCCTTGGTTCTTGTACCATATATTTTTGTATATTCTCTGATTAATGAAATTATGATAGTGTTCACTGAAATATTTTAAGTTGATTTTCAGTAAAAATATGATAGCATACTGATTGCTTTCCCCAAAAACAAAGTAAATTGCTATATATGAATAATTCTAATACTAAGCAAAATGTCTTTGCAAAATGAGTGCCATATAAGCTAGCAGATACGTGGCATAACAAGTTTTTGTGGTACAGCAATAATTTATTCCTTTATCCTCTTGTCTCACCCTAACTGAAGTGAATATTTTTGAAAAAACATTAGTTTTTAAATGATTGTTGGTAGTATTTATCTTTATTAAGTTACTACTGTAGATTTGATTTAATAATAATATTATTATTATTATTATTATTATTATTATTATTATTTCTTTTTTTTTTTGCAGGCAGGACCAGTACAGTATGTCAGGATAGCTAAGGACAGAGCAACTGGAACATTCAAAAACTTTGCATTTGTCATTTATCGTGATCCAGTGTCTGTTCCTTACGCAATTGAATTGATGAATGGAATTCCTCTTTTCAATCGTAATATGAGAGTTCAGAATAGGGGCTTGCAAGAGTTGCAACAGAGGGGACTTGCACCTGGGCCTGGTGGGATACATACTCTAGATCCCAGCTTATTAAATAATAGTCCTCAGGCTCCACAACAGAATTACCCATCAGTGCAAGCACAGAGTTGTGGCCAGCAGCAGTCACTCTTAGGCCCTGGCCCAGGAATTCCTGCAGCACTACAAGGTCGAGTTCCACAGCATATCATGGCATTAGCTCAACAGCAGATAGCTTTGTTGCAGGCACAGCAGCCTTGTCTTTTATCAGACAGTCCTCTACTCAATGCGCCAGGCATGCGCACATCAGATCGCCTCGGCTCCGTAAATTATGGCATGTATGGTCAGGGACACCGAGGTCATAATATGCAGGATAACATGCGAGGGAGTGGGTCAAGAACCAATAATGCACCACACAGTCAACAGTGGAACAGAGGACATCATTACGATAATAGGGACAGAAATTCTAGATCCTTAGATGACCGTCATAACCGTCATCATGAGGACAGAAACAGATATGGAAGGTCCTTGGATGATCACCAGAATTACCGTCATAATCAGAGAAGCGGCGGACAGAAATACATCGATAATGATGCGATGAAGATGCTGAAAGGGCAGCAGAATCGAGATGACAGTGTTTCTCAAAATTCCAACATGCTCGCTCAGTTACAGCAACAGCAAGGACGTTTTGACTACAATAGATTAGGACCAAAGAATGACTCTTACATGAGACCAAATGGACACAGTCATGACAGTCATAGATCGAGGGATCATTATCACAGTCGGTCTCATGGAAATGATGATAGGTCTAGTGGTAGGTATGATCCATATAGAAGTTCCAGACGTTGATGCCATCGTGCCTACCACATTGTCAAATGCCAGTTTGGTACTTTTTATGTTTTTGTTTCAGAAGAATAACCTACTTATGTACCTGTGTATATAAATTGCTGGAGGTTATTAGATGAATATTTATGGGAAATTTAGTGTTCTCTGGCATTTTTATTGAAAGATTGGAATATGAATTTTTATATTTGGGTAAGGTAACAGACTAGATTTGTTTTGTCATCCATGTGGTTTTAATGGATACAGTATTTCCTTTGTGAAATGTTTAAATAATTGAAACTGCATTGTTTATAGGGTTTCTTCTCTTTTCATTTTTGTCTTCAATATAATTTTAAGCAGATGAATTTTCCATTTACTTAGTCTTAGATTTATTGCAACTTTTTCTTCAGATAAAGAGAGCATGTGTGAGTGTGAATGTGTGAGTGTGATCTGCATGTGGGACGTGTGAATATGGATGTGGGATGTGATAACACGTGTGTGGAAAGTTTTGTGTGTGTTAAAGGACTGAACATGTGTGCACATCTACACACAAATGTACATATGCTAATTTTCATGAGTGCACACATTTTCTATTCATAATCTCCTACACTTTTCCATCTCTTACACCAACTTTTGAGTAATATGCCATTGCTAGTTTCATCAGCATCAATAGGAATACGTTAAAAAAAAAGAAAGGAAAAAAATGGTTTTCATAGTTGGTGTATGTACTGTGGATGGTGAAGAAAGTATGTGTATTCTTATCATTGTATAGCATGTAGTCCCTATTTTATTTTACACAATATATTTTTTTTCTAACTTTTATTTTTTTACACTGAAATATTGCTATGTAAATTGAATTTGAGATATTCAGCTTGCATAGTTTTGCATATTTATTGACATGTTCATTTGCAGAATCCAGTTTGTTACCACTTGTCTGTAAAAAAAATATGTATTAACCTCACTCTCAAATTTAGATTTGTAATTTTGAATAAGTACTAGAGTGAATCAGTTGTGTTTTTGATGGTAACCTTATCAAGTGATGAAAGCTTATGGGTTTCAAATATGTGGATACATTGTATGTACTTTAAATGTATATGTAATCCTTGCAGTGAGAGAGAAAGTGAGAGAGAGAGAGAGAGTGAGAGATCTGTAAAAACTGATTGAGTGAGAGAGAGAGAGATGTAAAAACTCATTGCAATCAACATGGCAATGCATATATCTACATTGTTAAGAATGAAAAAAAGGAAAAACAATGCTGACATTACAGATATAAGAGAGGAAATGTCTGTTTGTTTTGCAGCTTTACAGTTTAAATCTATTATTAATTCTTACATGTTTATGTTGTTCTCCTGAAACTCAAGCACTATTTTCTCCTCCAATTGATTATTTTAGCATTCCTTTCATTTTGAGGAAATACTGTGAAAATTGTGCTAGTGCAATAAGTAGCAAACTGAACAGCTTGCTGGCAAATCATAAACAGGGAAATGTAGGAAAGTAAATCATACATTGAGCAAAAAAATAAAACTTATTTTTTTTATGTTTTTTTTTTCTTTTTTATTCAGATTTGATTTTTCTTAGAAATATGAATGTAACTTTAACACATGGTTTGACTTGGAAGATGTTTCAGGGAAAGTAAACTTATCCATGTTTTATTTGTTGTAAATACAGTTTAAGGGTCATTAAACTCTGAACATAAAATATTTCGTTTTTTTTGTTATTACTATATTATTACCATTAAGCAAAGAGAATATTACAATTAGTAGTCAAGGGTTTTGTTTTTGTTTTTTAAAGATTATTTGATCTCCCTCCTTTCTAATGTACTCTTAAAGTGACTGAATAAACTAAAGGTTTCCAAGTTTATGTATTTAGGTATGAATGTTTAAATACTACTTTCTAGAAATTATTTTCATATAAAGATATATAAAGATGGTGCAAATATTTAACAAGTAATGCTGCATCATAAAGTGTCCTCATCTTGAAGTCATTCAATTATTTTGATAATTACATATAAAGGGAGTTATTATGTCATAGTAAAAAAATTAACCCTTTTTACATTGGTATAAAAAATATCAGAAGGAAACTCTAAAGCCACAAATGATCTAGATTACCTTTAACTAAATTTTCAGATTTATAATATGATTGGTGTATTTAACTTACCTTGCTGTTTATTATGATATATAGCTTATATTAATCGAAGGCTCAAAATAAATAAATTACAAATTCTAGGAAGTTAAGGTACAATATTATGGAAGATATTTAAAAAGTCATATATTACTCAAGATGTAATTAAAAACTGCACTGACTTTTATGTGCATTTTACTGTGTTTAGAATTTAACTACTTGTCACTGTTGAACAGAGGAGGATAAAAAAAATCTTGTCACAAAAAAATGAACATTCATCTTGTGTATATACAATGTCTGGCAATGTCTCCAGATATATTCATATGGTGTGAAATGTTCCCCGTATCTGTACCCCAGAAAAAAGGGGGGGGGGGTGAGGGGGAGAGAGAAATTGATTACTTGGCATAACAAATGAAAAATGAGAGAAAACTTTTTTATAGGACTCCAGAGTGGAAAGTAGAAGCTAATTCCATCCTTACTGAAAGATAATTAAGGGAAGAATATCCAATGTTGTTAGAAAAGACCCCCCTCCCTCACCCTTTTATCCTAGGCCTGCACTGTGCAAGGATTATCCTAATAACTGCATATTTAAGATTGGGTAGTGGTCAATTAGGTGGGGTTCTCAGCAAGCATTGGAAGTTTTCCAGTTTTACCTTCAGCTTCAATATTCCAAATACAACATTGGATATTAATATCAAGTTTTTGAAAAATTTTTTTTTTTTTTTCTTGACTTCGGATGTTTATCTTGTAGCAACATAAAAATGATGCCACAAGTATTGGAGAAAGAACAGTTCTATCTAACAAACTGATGGTGCAAGGTATTACTTTATATGGTGACATGATTTAGGCTGCATATTCAGCAGATTAACACCACTTTGCTGAGCAATTCCACAACTTTGAATCTTTTAACATTATCGTTTGACATACTCAGTTTTGACATCACTAAGAGTGTTGGGGGGGGGGGGGGACACCAGGTACTCAAAGTAATGCCTATCATGTCATCTTGCTAATACTTTTGTTCTGCATGTCTGTTGGGGAAATGGGTATGGTTAGAAAATCATCAAAAGTCATCAATTTCTATTTTTTTTGTATCAGATAGAATTAGTCTGTCACTTCACATCTTGTGAGCAATCCTGGACACTGATACACAGCTGATGTAATATCATCTATAGCAAAAATAATTATACACTTTTCACTCAAGTAGCAAAAGAGTAAGATTGCAGCTCTAATATTTTATTGCCTTGAAATACATTCACTTTTCTCAGGCCAAGACAAGTTCTACGTGTGAGTTAAATGGCAGAAGAATTAGAAGACCTACCCAAATCTAAAAAACTTGCAAGTACTTTCTTTAATAAGAACTTTTACAGAAGATATTGTTTCCACTGTCTGTTACCACTAACAGCTAGTACTTTTCAGAGTAGGTCTATGAAATGATGAAAACAGAATAAAATTTATACATACATATTTATTGTCAGTAGTCCAAGTATAATAATGTAGTAGCATTTTGGTAGCACCAAAATGTTGCATACATTTTCCTTTATGAAACATAGTATCCTTAAATCAGTTGGTCTTTTTTTGAGAAGAAAAACATATCACAGACAATGCAGACAATTTGTGGGTATATACACACACATGATGACAGAATAAAGCAAAGTTATGAAATATTTTTTATTTATGCATCAGTTCAAAATACATTTTTGATTATATTATGTATTGCATACTTTCTGACATCATAAATATATTAGCAGCATGACACACGTTTTCCAGGAAGATATATATTTAATCGAACAAGAATAATCACCAGAAAGATTGCTGGCAAATTACATGTGGATTTTTTATGGGAAAAGAAAAGAAAAAAGCGACGATGATGATGACAACTTAATTTACTCAGTCCAACGATGTGTGCACTCACTGTTGCAACATACATAGTACAGTCTCATCTCATCTTCAGCTCTCCTGGTCTGGGCTTGGAAGAATACCGCATCGCGTGTGCTACACCTTGGGCATGGATGGTCGTCTGTCCTTGGCAGTGTTGGGTCCTTTGTAAACAGAACATTATGAGTTATTGAGACTATGTGAACAAGGTTTTGTTACTAAAGAAAGATGAACATCTCATTATGATTTTATAAGCAATATTCCTTTTATCTATTACAGGTAATTTATACTTAATCACACACTTAAGGTAATTTATACTTAATCATACACTATCAGATTTTTCTGGTATAAGCGAGATCAAGCATACATAATCTACATAGAACCAATTCTGATAATTTATGGGATCGTTACTTGCACTGTTTAAGACTTAATATACACCCCAATTATAAAGAAATGTTATGAAACATGAACACAACTATGAGAGAGAATCACATGCCTCATTATCTCCAAAAATACTTAATCATAGATCCAAGACTTTAACCAACCTAAGTTGGTACATGCAATATTACTCTATGCTCAATAAATAGTAAATACAAGGCAATATGTACAATTGTAAATGTTAGAATACTTCACACTCATTATATATATCATTTTCATCCCTAAAGAAGTGACATAACAGAGTAATTCTCAATGTTCTAATACAAGTAATATACGCTGCTACCTGCCATAAATTTTGTTGAAAATTTACCGTTTTATAGGAGTATTAAAAAAGATGTGTTCTTCCTACTAACCTGTATCACTTCTGGGTTAATGTGCCTGAGTTCATCAATTTCATGCATCAACTTGTTGACATAAATACAATTATTTTCTGTGGGCATTTTGTAATCACAGTTCCTGCAGGCATAAAGCAATATCTTGTTTTCCTGGAAGTTCAAATCAGATTAAGAAACTGGTGAAATAAAAAAAATATATATATATATAATTTTCATGACAATCCAGTGTCTGAGCTAGAGATTCACACAAAAAAATTACCTTGTCTTCTTTTGGGTACAACATATTGTTACACTCCTGACAGAAACGGATGCCGACAAAACCTGGTCCATCTCCTCCACCTTTTGCCATAAGACTCATGGCTGCTGCTGTTTCTGAAATGGAAATGCAGTCCTTTTTATCATAACCATGATACTTTTTCAACCAAATCAAAATCTATGTACACATTTTAATGAATAAATCTTAAAAACTGACAAGAACTTATTATACACAGTTAGACATTTTATAGCCAAGAACATAATCTATACATAAGAAGACGTATTTGGATACCCATAGGATAATTTGTCTCTATCAACCAAACTTACCTGCTATTCCATCATAAATGATTGTGTGTTCCAAAGTTTTAATAATGTTTATCTTGGAAAATGGGAATATCAAAGTAAAATTATTTTATAAATCCACTCAATTCTTAAGTGATATCTATGAACAACTTGGTTCATGCACAATGGATATAATCACAGTATAAAAATTAAAATACCCACAATAAGAAATGAAAATGAATGTAACGTTTTGAACTCTTCACGAGTTCCTCTTCAGATCTTCTTGGTCTGATGAGGAACTCATGAAGAGTTTGAAAAGTTATGTTAATTTCATTTTCCTTTTTATATACACGTTACTGTGTTTGTGCTTGTGTTGAACATCACAGTACTTTTTGTTGTAAAGCATCTTCTACCATCAAAAAGTTTATGATTGCTGAAATAAAATAAGAACTATTCAAAATCTATTTTGTTTTGCACTGCAACACTGCATGATAATAAATGCAATTACTGTTTGAGAAACTTTAAAATATAAGGGAGCTTACTAATGATTTAAGCTTAATGGAGGGAGAGTAACTGGTAAAAAAAAACAAAAAAACTAGGCAAGCTAATTTACTATTCCACATACATGAGAAGTCATAATGGTGTGAGGACTCTCTATTGCAGACAATATTAGTGTTTGTTTCAGTATCTGGAGGACACTATGCACCAGATCCTATACACTACATATCGTGAAGCCATGCTCAGGCCTCTTATACAGCAGTTCAAATTTACTTGACATTGCACAACCTTAAAGTTGGAATCAAAATTGGGTAAATACCCTGAATAAGATTAGATTACACAGAGGAAAAACTGACGCAATGGTCATAAACACTAAATTCAAAGTCTGCAAATTTACACGTCACTCAATGTTTTGGCCTCCACACTCCGGTAATTTTCTATATTTCTATATTCTGAAAAGGTAAGATTGCAAAATCTACACACAAGGAACCACTACAAGCTCTACCTTCACTGAATATAAATGGCTGAAGTGTACTGGCCATTGCTGAAACATGAAGGCCACTACATCACTGTTATAGTCCTGGTCTGGCTTGTTATATTTAATTCTAATCTTTCTATCACAATGTACAGCTAAATTCAAGATGAACTGGACTGAACTTGACAAACATAAGATAAAAAAACAAGTGACGTTTTGAAATTCACTACTGGCTAACTGGTAAGATTTTCCAGACGTGTATAAAACTATAGGTATCACCAAAAAATCAACAATACCGTTTTGTTATACGTTTAGATACAAGGCTTGGTTTGGCTTGTCTTGGGGTAGCGGGGATAAATCCACCCTATGGGGGGAGAATTACACGGTAAACTGGTATATAAACAGACAACTTCAAACACCATAGGTTCTCTTACTGTTTCAAAGCTAGTAGAAATAAAACTATCGGGTACTGTCAACCCAATGAAGACGACACAAAGTATTGCGCGATGTTTTGCGGCGAAGGATATTCAGTTCTCTACCAAACAGTACGAGCCTAATATGTTATTAGAAAATAAACATTGTAGAATTTATTTATTCAAGTCTTTTATGTGAGTGTTATTTTTAAAAGCATTTCTTAGATTATTAGCTTGATATAAGTAATCATTATATCGTATATACTTGTCAATTAATGATTCCCTTTTAGGTTCGTACCTTTATATATTATGCAGCTGTCAAACAAAACAAATACGGGCTGTGTATTTCAATGCCGAATATCTTTCCTTTTTAAAATTTCAAATAAAGACATCTAAAAGGATAATATCTTTGAAAATGTGCTTGGAAGAGTTCACGAATATAAAGTACTCTTTTTCTCTCACTATCGGCTCAAGTTGAAGTAAAGACCTCCTCTCACTATAAAGCACTTGCTTTATTATGGTATTACTAATATTATGTCTATGAAAAAAATAAATGCTGATTGTATAACTGGTAACAAAAATCAATCTGCGATCATGACGTCATTGTTGCTCATAAGAGGGAAAAATCTATCCATGACGCATTGCAACAATATGCGCAACAGTAAATGCAAGGGAAGTTATATCTTTCAAAGATACCTTTGATCGATTTAAGAATACATATACATATATATAAGCTGTATATGTATATGTATACATAAATACATACATACATACATACATATATATATATATATATATATATATATATATATATATACACACACATACACACAAACACACACACACACACACACACACACACACACACACACACACACACACACACACACACACACACACACACACACACACACACACACACACACACACACACACACACACACACACACACACACACAACACACACACACACACACACACACACACACACACACACACACACACACACACACACACACACACATATATATATATATATATATATATATACATATATATATATATATACATACATACATACATACATATATATAATATATATATATATATATATATATATTATATATATATATATAGAGAGAGAGAGAGAGAGAGAGAGAGAGAGAGAGAGAGAGAGAGAGAGAGAGAGAGAGAGAGAGAGAGAGAGAGAGAGAGAGAGAGAGAGAGAGAAATATAAACAAGAAAACATGTCGCTTTCAGGCTGATAGCCGCCAGACATGTCGACGCATGTTTACCTTCGTTGACGAAAGATTTCAAAACAGATCCTCATACTCCACGAGGGAAATGTCAATTTAAAGCCGTTTTCTTTTAGTAACGTTCGAGAAAGAACTTTTGAGAAAACTAAAAATTCATAACAGTCTCAGATATTACATTTTTTTTTTTTAAATCTCGACATTATTTGAAATCGTTATAATATACAATCTACTACTGCCTATCTATGCTGTAACGTTACTCTATATAGTATGGCAGTAATGATGATAATACAAAATCATAGTCATGATATGATAATTATAATGGTGATAATGATAATGATAATACTAATGATAATATACAACATGAAGCTAATGCTAATATATGATGATGATAACATAATAATAATAATAATATAATAATATAATAATAATATATATAATAATAATAATAATAATAATAAATAATAATAATAATAATAATAATAATAATAATAAATAATAATTACAATAATTATGATGATGACGATGAAGGTAATGATAATAATAATGATGATTATAATAATAAATGATAACAATGATAATAAAAATGAAATAAAATAATTTGATAATAATGATAATATAATAATGATTATAATAATAGAAATTGTATAATGAAAAATGATAAAGAATAATAATGACAATAAAAATGATGATGAGGATGATGATAATAATAATAATAACAATGAAAATAATAATAACAACAACAATGATAATATGATAAGTGATAATGACGATAATGTAATGAATAATAATACCAATAATAATATGATGATAATAATAGTAATGGTGATAAATAATAATAATAATAATAATAAAACAACAATCATAATGGCAATAATAATGATGTGATGATAACAACAATTAACTGTATTCATTGCGACAAATGTAGAAAAGTTATGAATGAGAGTGAATATCTTCACAATATTTATGTATTTAATGATAATAGTAATAATAATAATAATAATAATAATAATAAAAGATTTATCAATGATGGTGATAATAAGAGTAATAATGCTTATTATTATCATAATGATAAAGATAAGGATAATGATAACAATGATGAAAATGATATTGTTAATGATGATAATAGTAATGATAATGATATATTTATAATAATAATGATAGTGCTACTACTAACAACAGTAATAATAACAATAATAATAATATCAATTATAATGATAACAATAATAATGATAACAAAAGTAGTAACAATAATAATCAAATATTGATATCAACAATAATAATGACAATGCTGCTGCTGATGATGATAAAAACAGTAATGATAAAATCAATAATCATACTGATGATAATAGTAATGATAATTATTATAATGATAACAATAATTAGCATAATAATAATAATGTAATACATAATTATCAATAATAATAATTATTATAATTACAATAACTATCACAATAATAATAACAATAATTATTATGATTACGATAACTATCACAATAATAATAACAATAATTATTATAATATAAATATAAATACATATATTGAAAATAATAATAAATAACAAATCATCAATCATCATCATAATCATAATAATAATGATAATAATAACAACAATAATAATATCGGTAATAGTAATGACAAGAACAAAGATAATGATAATGATGATGATGATGATTATGATGATGATGATAATGATACTAATACTGATAATGATAATGATAACGATAATGATGATGACAATAACAATATTGATAGCAACAACAGAAATAACAATGATGAAAATAATAGCAGTAATAGTAATAGCAATACTAATAGTAATGCTAACATAATAGCTAATAAAACAGATTAATACATTAAGACAAACAGCATACAAAAGCGCATTGTTAGCAACAACATCAATTTGGTGTATAATTCATAGACTATTCTCTATATCTTTACGAAAGGATGTTGCTTATAAATAACATTATTCCTCATTACCATTATTACGTCGCACCACTAATGTAATCCATGCAGTTGCTCTGTACATTAGAATAGTAAATAGGTTTGTTGTTCTTACGCTATGGATTCTGTTCTTTTCTTCCAAATAGCTTGCCTACGTCGATAAAAATTGGCCTGAAGACTTGTTTGTCTGTGGTTATTGGAGGGGGACATGTAGACATAAATTAAGGAAATTAATGTAGAAAAAATAGAAAAAAAAATATTATAGAACTCAATATAGAAATGCACACACACACACACACACACACACACACACACACACACACACACACACACACACACACACACACACACGCACACACACACACACACACACACACACACACACACACACACATTTCGCATGTTTTTACATATACATAATTCACATATGTGATACAGAAATTTGAAAAGAAAAAAAAGGGTTTTAAGTTACCATCGAACATAACTCCGTCACACACCGCGGCCAAGCTACTGTTTGTGGGTGACGAATACAATACTTGTTTTATTTTTATTTTATTTATTTTTTTATTTTTTTATTATTCCTTGATCTTTAGGCATTTGGCGCTAGATCTTCAAGAACTTCATGAAAAAAAATAGCGACAAGATTTACGTTGGCAAAGTAGGTCTATAATACTGGAATGAACAATAAAAAAAAGTTTTTAACATTTAGTAAAAAAAAAATGTGCCTCTGATAGCATTCTCAAAAGTGATAATAATCAGAAGAAAACATTAGACAAAGGATCTCTCTGCTTCTATTTCCTCAATTTCATAGAACAGATTAATGACACAACAATAACAAACGATTCATTATGGGAAACAGGAGACTCACTCTCTCATTCACTCCATTCGGTAGCATGCGTGTGAACTCCATGGGAAAAATGGCGGGTCACGTGATAATGGCAAGTTTCCAAGAAATCGATAAACCATACACATGTGTACTCACTTCCCTCGGTGTCTCGGAAACGCTCACCACACGGCCAGGATCCACGAGAACAGGGAAAATGGATTCTTACGGAACTATATTTGCCGAGACTGTAACAACAACTGGTGTATATCTTAGATAGATGGAGAATTGAAATGTTTCAGGGTTTGAGATCACACACACGCACACACACACATATACGCACACGCACACGCACACGCACGCACACACACACACACACACACACACACACACACACACACACACACACACACACACACACACACACACACACACACACATCACGCACACACACACCACACACACACACACACACACCACACCACACACACACACCACACACACACACACACACACACACACACAGACATACAGCGCACACACACGTACAGAAGTTGACATGCAAATAGCTGCAATAGCATATCCAAGCACTCATGATACTTGGATTATTGTATTTTTCTTTTTTTCTGGAATTAGATATAATTATAATGATTACAATGTTACAGTTACATTTATGGAATATGTTTGTTCTTAAGCTGGTAGATCGCATCAGGGTAACTGTAGGAAAGTAGATCATATCTCGCAAAAGATATATATATATATATATATATATATATATATATATATATATATATATATTACACACACACACACACACACACACACACACACACACACACACACACACACACACACACACACACACACACACACACACTATATATTGACACACACATACTATGATGGGTCTGTGTTAGGAAAGGGAGCAATATTTACATCTTTTTGAAGTACAGTATCATGATGGAAGCACAATTATGTAACAGTTTAAAATGGAATGCAAGCTCATATACGCTTGTATGTATTCGCTGCCTCCAATGTACCCTGACATGTGTGTAATGAATTTTTCGTAAATGTACTTAGGAAACACGGGATTCTTCCTACAGATATGAATATTGCT